AGCGACCCATGGGGGATTAGGGCTGATTTATATGAGCGACTCGCAGCTCAGCTCTACAAAGAAGCGATACAACACCCAACGAAGAGTCTGATCAAATTACAGGCCGCCAGAAGCAAACATAAAAGCTAATCCGACAGAGTACATGCAAAGACATCTGTTGGTCCAACTGCAAGGTACAACGGCGCGCCAACGACTCGAACACCTGCACAATCGCCCCGGTTCGTCGCGTCTTGAACATGTGTTCGTTCTGCAAGCGGTTCGCACTGTTTAGCTCATGTGATGCCCAACGCCAAGGGTTCTATCAGTTACGTTTTTTTCGATCGGTGTTGTGTCGTTTGACGGCTCCCTAAACAGAAGGTACCCTGGTTTCGCGCAAGTCGCAGCGTGAGGGCCTTATCCAGCCAGAAGCGGCCAAGGCCGGTGATGTGTTTTGAGTCAGATATGATGAATCCGGGTGAGTAGCATGGTGGTAAAGACTGCATGTTGATGAATGCATAGAATTCACATCTTCTGGAGGTAAACTTAGTCGAGTCCGCTGTATATGTGTCGGGTTCGTATATTCATGTGGCTTAAGTTGACACATCGTGGGCTCAGGTTTCAGGGACCGCATGCCATACATTGATTAAAGATATATAACAATAATTCGAGGCGGGGCAAGTCTAAATCGATTCAATGTGCGTGCCACAAAGAGGTGTCAAAAAGACTTGTTGGATAACATCGTGTCCCCAAAGACTCAGGACAGAGCTGATTAAATTGCTACACATTGCCTCGCGGTGATTCTTGCAGTGATTCAACTGAATTTTACCAAGCTTGAACGAAAGAGCCCATCTTAGGGGAGATGCGACGTAGAACCGGCATCGCAAATCTGCTCTCCGGCTGCTACCTGACCTGCTCACCACTTCTGGCATGCATGGATCTCATTTCTCTTGCCTTGTTCCCGGGCGCATCAGGGCGAGAAATGTTGTTGAGTCGGCGAGTCTGGAAAGCGTTGGATCCCAAAATTGGTCGCAATTATCAAGCATAGCTTCTCATCTGACGCGAATCAGTTTTTTGAATGACCGAAAGTCAGAAGGCGAGCGCTGAGCCGGCTAGAGGCCACGTCAACATTGTGCGACCTTGTGAAAACCCAACCCCTCAAGTCCTGGGTGTCCTCACTGACCAGTTCAAGTCAGCTGTCGCAAGATCACCGAGTTCGAGGTAGTGTCATTGCAATGGTTTACGCGTGGTCCTGCCAGGCTGCCTCTTTTTTCACGACGCTGGGGCTCTTGACCGTTCGGCGGGAGCAGGGGCCTGCAATTGAGCTCGCTCAAGCCGAAATGCTGAGGGACTTGGTTGTGCGAACGGCGGTTGTGAAGGCAGTAGCAGGCGAAATTGCCTCGAGGTTGACCCTCCGTTGCGAGCCTTCAAGCTCTCGCTGTGTGGCCAGCTAGAACCTCCCGTTGACAGCAAGAGCCGATCCGACCGCAACGGTCGCATTTGTCGAGCAAGCATGTTGCGAAACAAGACGGTTGCCCAAGTCCAAGGACGCGGATTCGTGGGTTAAGCGAGCAACATCCCAGGCGATTTCGAACACAAACCCATCATCCAAGAATGCAGTCGAGGAATATTCCCCCGAATGTCGGACCCTTCACATCTTCCGTCAACCCCACTGAACCGAGTAACCGAGGGCCATCCGCTTGATTCTCGTCGAGTTCCTGTTCCCCGAACGAGATGAGGATGCACGCTCTAAAATAAGCGGAGGGTGAAGGTCGAACGTGAGTGGGTGCAAGCCTGGAGGAACACTGCAGATCCCCGTTGAGGGCAGGCAGCGCTCATCCTTGCCCTGCCTGGGAAAATATCCGGTGATCGGCAACTTTCGCGGGTGACTGTTTGCCGGCAACGGGCCCACTCTCTCAACGCCCGGGACTCGCGCGTTTGAGCCCGACTCCTCGCGACTCAGCTCCTCGGCGCCCGATTACGCATTATGGATACTGAGCACACTGGAGAGATTCCAAGCAGGGAATTGTTTTCCTGCAGACACAAATGCCAGGGACTGTTGTCGCAGGGCGTGCATAGTGCGTACGGGGTTGCTGTTCTAGTGGGGTCAGCATGAACAGTACACGACGGCAAGGCTGTAGCTTTGTTTGCTGACCTTGGAAAGATGCCGATCCACTTGACACGGGAAATTGAATTCCGTCGGCGGTTTGCTGCTCAGCTTTGCTGGTCAAACAGATGCTGAAAGTCTTCCACGCCGGTGGATTGCAGCAGGTGCGGCAGGCCGCGGAAATGTCATCGTCGGAGCAGTTGCAGGGAGAGACTCTAAGGAGAGATGCATAACGGTCGGTATGTATGCTTGCCTGCTTAGTCAGACGCACGCACAATCTCGATCACCCAAGTAACGCTACTGAGTAATTAAGTAGCCAAAGTGGGCGATTTAAACAAGAGTTGTCCAGAACATCACCGCAACTCAGCGATACTCCGAATCGTATTCTCTCAAGGCTTGTCAGGGCTTGCCCGAGTCACTTGACCGTCTGTCCACGTGGACCGTACACGCAGTCGTCTAAACCTCCAAATCGCTGACCGAAGATTCTTGTCTAAATTTCCCAAGATCTTGGAGCCCCCGCAAAGATAGAAGTAAGGTTTGCGCCTCACCATTCCCACGGTACAGCAGTGGCCGCAGCTGCAGCTATTGTCTTCGCCCGGACCAGATCGGTCTTCTGAACAGCCAAGAAGTCGATGGTTCGTATCCTTTGCCAGAACGTTCGTTCTGCTGCAGAAGGTTTGATCTGTGGCTCGGCTGCTGCCGGTGCGATTGTCAGGAGCAAAAGCAGGAATTCGAAGGAGTATCCCTTGGATTAACCATAAGGATACCCTCCATCGCCGGGATTGTCCGCATGTTTCACTCTAGTGATTCAAGCATCTGCTCAGTGCGCAGGACAAATCGTTCGCTACTATTTATAAATTTAATATTGGTCTCAGGGTGCTATCAGCGCGGGCGGTCCTGGCTGATGAACTGATGATGTACAGTATATTTAATAGAGATCGACCCGTCCCATGCGACCGAACAATGTCCAGACAGGGTATAGTTCTTTCACTAGACATCTTGTGAGTTTGCCGCGCGAAGAATCAAGAAGATAGGCGAAAGTATGCTAGGATCCAAGGGGGATTGCCGGCAAATCGTCAGGATTCTCCCCATGTTCTCGGCAGCCGTTCCGTTAAGGTTTCTAAATGACATGGACGACCAAAAGACCAAAAGCCTTCAAAGTCTATGGGCCGACACAGTATTCTGTGCCGAAGGAGCATAACTAACTTAATTATTCCGCTGAGTCATCCTATCACTCGCGTGCTCATGAGTGGTAATTCGTCAGTCAAATCCGACCTGCCACGCCGATCTGGGCCATCACCAGAATGGCATCATCCCGTGGTCACGACTGTGCTGTGCTATAGTCTAGCCGGAGTACTGATACCAAGCCCTCTAGGCTCTGACTCCCCCTGAGCCACCTCCATCGCGTCGCTCGTGGTGGCAAGCACGCTAGGCTCCCCCTGCAGCGACAGTCATGGCTAGTGTGGCGTGCTAGCGACGCGAAGGAATGTCTTCCCCGAGATCGACGACCAAGGAAGCTGGCGTTGCGCCCAGGGGGAGGGGGGGGTTACTGTGTAATATTCTTAGAACAGCCAATTTCGACGGAGTAATGTTTCGAAGCACCGGAAACACCTGCAGCTACACATGTAGTACATAGTCAGCAGGTAACAGCTAGCGAATGGCACGAACCAGATTTTAATCTATTTGATTTACGATAACCTCATCGCGGCGAACTTCCGTTGTGTGAGGGTTCGCAGGCGGGCGCGCCCGATGGGGGGCTGGGCTGGCAACTGGTAACTTACTCGTACGTACATAGTAGCTGGCGCGCTCGGTCGCACGCGGTGGAGGTGGGCGGCCTAGCCCACCACACAACTGTGACCGTGCTAGCTTAAACCGGATTAACATTGGGAAGGTGGAAAGAAATGCCTGACAAGCGAGTCATGACAGGCCGAGGAAAGCCGGGTGGTGGTGTTTCGAATGGGTTATCTAACTTGTCCCAGCACGGCATACGGAGTAGACGTCGCCCCCAAAGGTGGGGACTCCCACGCATGTTTATTTTCCATTTTGGTCGATGTTCCCCGGTCCTAAGGGACCCGGGAGTCTGGTTCTCTCTTTCCAGAACCCATGCATGCATGCATGCATGCATGCGATTAAGGAAATCCCCCTTGGGGGTTATGACACTAACTGTAGACACGAGGCTGGGCATGCTTGAGGAAGGGTTTTGCTGGTACTCGACCTACTAGTACAATGCGGATTGTCATCTCGCTTGGAGAGAAAGAACTTGGCAAACAATGATTATTGAGAAAGAGTTTCCCCTCCGTCGACAAGTGCCATTGAACTGCCAAATAGGGTTTTAGGATTTGCCGAACAGTGGTGAAAGTTCTAGACTGGCGGGCAATGATGATGTTCTCTAGGGTTAGAGTGGGGGGGCAGAGGGTGACATGACTCGTCCTGATTTGTCGCGGATGGGTTCCGTCCGCAGAAAACTGCAAATCAGAGGCGCCACTTCTTTCTCCCTGACAGTGGTTGCGGTGGAGAGCCCAAGTGGATGACTACGACTCTGTTGACGAAAGTCTGCTCGCGTTGACAGCCTAAACTGGCGATCTCTTAGGGTTTTTTTTTTTTTCTCTGGGGAGAGGGACTCGAAGGGAGACAGACTCGTATTCCGACCTTCCGTGGAGATAGAGGGGCGGAGGACAAGCCGACTGTCACAACTCACGAACCCACCCCTCGTCTCGTGGCCCGTCCGATTGCCTCAAAGGGGCAAGGATGTGGGCAGTCTAACCTCGCCTTTTGTTAGGGTTGTAGGCCTGCAATCAAAGAGGCTTCCCGCTGCAAGGACCCTTCTGATTGAATTAATCAACTTATTATATCCTTACTATCACCCCCACCCATGTCCACATTTCCCCTCCCCCCCTCTGCCCACCACCCCCCCCATGTTGACTGGAATTTGAGCTTTGCATCTCCCCAAATGCGTCCTTGACAGCACCACCACAGGGCTGACCTTCGACTCGATTTTGCGACGACTTCAACGTCATGGCCATCTACGCCGATGCGGCCCCGTCGGTGGCCGGCAGTGTCATTATGTTGACGACCCTGGCACTGCTGACTTACGGGGCCCGAGTATACTGCCGGTTGACCCGGAAGTCATGGGGGATGGAAGACTGGATCATGTCCGTCGCCTTGGTAGGTCGTTCTCCCATTGAGACTCGAACATGAGCTGATCGGTTGGAATTTAAGGTGCCGTTCGCTGTGCTGGTAGCAGGCTGTGTAGGAGGTGCCTTCAACGGGATTGGAATTCATCAATGGCGGCTGGCGGAGCCGGAAAATGTGCAGTATTCAGCGGATGGAAAGAAGGTATGGAGTCTTCACCGGGCCCAGCAGGGCAAGTCAAGCAGCTGGACGCTAACGAAGTCTCCAGTTCTTCCTCATCTTCGAGGTCGGCTACTGCGCTGCCATTATCCCGATCAAACTGAGTATCAGCTGGATGTTGATTCGAGTCGCGGAGGGGCGCAAGGCTTATCTCTACATTCAGTATGTGGTCATTGCAACGTTCGTGACCATGAACATCATCGCGTTGATTTTCATTCTCATCAACTGCATCCCTGTCGAGTATGTGCCCGCGTCCTCTGATTGTTGAATCGAATAGACAAGGAGACTGACTGCGCCCAGTGCTGCCTGGAATGACGAAGCCCTGAAGAACGGAGGACACTGCCAACCGTCCTACGTCCTCGCCGACGTGTACTACGCCTGCACGGCCGTGAACATCCTGACCGACTGGGTGACGGCTTTACTGCCCGTGCCCCTCCTCTGGAATGTCCAGATCAACCGCAACACCAAGATCTCGATCGTTGGCTTGATGGGTCTGGGGATCTTGTACGCGCCCCGCCCTCTGTCCTTCACCGCACGAACAACCATCTAACCCCTTTTTCCGTACAGTGCCTCGCTATCCGCCTGCGTCCGTCTCAAGTACACCGTCGCGCTCACCTCGCAGTCGGACTACCTCTTCGGCGTGGCCAACGTGGTGATCTGGGGGTTCGCGGAGAACGCGCTGGGGATGATCGTCGGCAACGTCGCCACCCTCCGCCCCCTGTTCCGCATCCTGCGCGATCGCAAGACCTCCGACTACAAGAACTACAACCGGTCCCCGGGCTACGGCCACAGCTCGCACCACACGGGCGGCGGCGTGTTCTCGCGCACCTACGAGCTGGCCGAGCACGGCAAGAACCCCAACCACGTCACCACGAGCACGGTCGCCGAGCACGGCCGTCGCAGCTTCAGCGACGGGGACAGCGAGCGACAGATCCTGGAGGGCGGGCAGAGTCCCGGCGAAGCCGACATTGTCGTCAGCCGGCAGGTGATCGTGGCCTACGACTGAGCATTCTGGGTTGGGTTGGGTTGGAGTTGAGGGTCTGGGAAGGGCGGCATTCTGGTTTACTCGTTCGTTATAATCTAATTTTCTTACGTCTGCATGCTCGCGCTAAGAGGGATGTGGTGATGTGTAGGCTGTAGTTGTCCTCGTCAAAGGATGCTTATACGAGCAGGAATCATCGAAGCACCCACCAAGATAGTGCAGGCCCCATCACCTGCGTCTCATTCGCCAGGTTTGACACTCTTTTCGTGCATATTTGCCATGGAAAACACCCCGATCACGTCCACACCAAGCTTTGGTCAAGATGTCTTCTGCTATGGGCCGTCGCTCGGCCCGTGCAGTGAAACATGGCCACCAATGATCACTAATCGGAATTCCAGCCATGACAATCTCCGGCTGAGTGCTCCAGACCGCGGTCTTTCGACTGTCGACGCTCACTCTCCGAGACATGCTTACTGAGTCGAGCATAGTCAGCCCTAATCAGGGCTGGCGCTCCCCAGCTGCTACGCCATTTGAGGAATGGTCACATGACTCGCGGCCAGAGGTTTTTGTCAGGCTTCAGCCCTGCATGCTTAGGTGTTATGAATACGAGTCTCTAGCTCAATAGTCTCAGGGTCCCTGGAACTAGTGCAGGGTCTTACGGTGTCTAAGTGAAATGTTGCAAAAAAATGCCTCGGAGACGATTGCTCACTTCAGGTATCGAAAGGCTTCCTGTGCAGCACCCTGGTGTATGGTTGGCGGATATGTCGATTCATGCGAGGCCCACGATAGCTTCAAGTCAAACGCAGATGCGGCTAGTCCTAGACCAGGCTGATATCCGAATGCAATAGTCCGGGATGGGTTGCATTGAGAGTTGTCATCTCTAGGATGGCACTCTTCCTACGCTCGAAGATGTAAGCAAAGGCCGCTGATGAGCTATAAATTCAAGCATCATTTCTCTCCATCAAGCAAGCATCATTGGCCTCATAGAGATCTCCCCTCTGTGGCTCATATCTACTCCTGATTCATTCTGCTACCATTGTTCGGACACCTTCCCCTCTGGGCAACAACCCTTCATCAAATCAGAGCTTCAGCATCCGACCCACGGAATGCCTCAAAACTTCTTTGTCCGCGTGCTAAGCGCCGCAGTTGTCGGCCTTGCTCTCGGGGCGACTCCCGCGCAATGCGGTGAGACGGACGACCTCTTCCTGGAACTGGATGTCAACCAAGTCGCCAACGGCACCGCAGGCTCGTGGATTCGCGCCCCATGGGGGAAGTCGTACGTCTCGGCCATCCAGGAAGGCCGGTACGGCGATGCCGTCTGGGCGCGGTACCACATGGACGGCCGCGCGGAGGGAGGCATCATCGCCGAGGGCAACAGCACCGTGACGGAGGAACTGCTCGAAGGACGCCCGGGGCTACCGGCTGGCCACCCCGGAGCTCTTCGCCCAGGTCGCCGCGCGCTACAATGGCACGAGCACGGCCGACGAGCACGCGGAGCTGGTGGAGCTCATCGGCAGCGTGCTGACCGAAGACCTGGCCACCCTCGCCGCGCGGGAGACCTACTCCACCAGCTGCAGTGGGAACTACCTGGCCCTGCGGTCGGACTGCGACACGGTGCTGACGTTCATGAGCGAGGCTCAGAGCTATACCGGAAACATGCGCCAGCTCTCCTCGTCCGGCGACTGCTTCTTCCGCGTCGGACCCCCCGGCAGCGCCCCCGGGGTGACCTGGTACCAGGCCCATGCGGTCGGCAAGCTCATCTTCAATGACTGCCAGCGCACGAAGCCGTGCTGCTCGAACTACTATGTGTCCGGGTACTCGCCGAAGAATAGCGGGCACAAGAAGCTGTGCTTGAGTTCGAAGTCGACGGGTTGTTCTTGAGGTATCACTCATTATATGTATTCAAGGGGATTCATGTGAAGGAGCTGTGGTTGGTGGATCTGAAGCCGTATTCCGATGGATGACGATGCCTGGTGCATGTAATTACTGTACTGTACGTACTGAGTTGGGCCTGAAGGCGGTCAGTGAAGTGGGAGTCTATCTATATATACCCTACCTTGTCGATCTCCGTAGTCTGGACCTTCCATTCACTTCTTCTTCCCACCATCCGTTCCACAACCGCCGTGCTATACCTTGTACTACCCACCCAGGGCTCCCTACCCAGCACACTCCATTGAAGAATAAAAGGAAACCCCCAAAGGGGCATCATCCACCAAGCTTCCCGCGAATGTCCCGAGCTTTTCCAGCAGGCGCTAGCGATGTACAGTCACACCGATCCGCGGGATAGTCGGAAGGATATTCTGGACGGGTTGGCGAAGGTTGGGGCTGGTTCGGGGGCTGGAGGTTTGCATTGAGGTTTTCTGGGATATATCAGGAACTGCACGGCGAGAGTGCGCTCATCGCTGCATGTTTAGGGTTGTGTTGATATGTCGTGCAACGGTGATTTTCATAGTGGCTGAGAAGAGGGAATGCGAGTCTTCCATCTCTACCATGCGATGTTAGCAACGCAGAGGCTGGCTTCAATCATACCACAACCGTTATCCGGTTTAAAAAGGCAGGGACGCACAGCTGCCAAGCCGCACTAGGGGGATCAGTAGTTCAGGTTGTAACTTAATTCTCATCGAAGGCCATCAGTTCCGCAGGCACATTCACGAAGGAATCCCTGGTTATTGTAGCATATGAGATCGAGGCGAGGTTTTAGCACTCTCCTGTGGCCAAATAATGAGCAAGATGCAAAGTATGGGGTAGTGAGAGAAAACGCAGGGCTGGAGCATCTCGGGAATGTGGGGGATGCCAGACTGGGTGCTCCAACCCCAGATCCAATCTCGACCGATCTCGCCCGAGGGCGTCGGCCACAGTGGGTCACTTCGACCTTCCGGGCTAAGTCTCGGTCAGCCCCGAAGTTGGCTCCGTGCGGGGGTTGGGATCCCTGGAGCTGATCGGCGACCCCCGAGAGGAAGATTGCAACTGTCTTGTCCCGTACTATCCATGGACTGTAAGGTCCGCTCATATGATCATGATCTACTCGTCATAAAGAAATTGTATGACTACTGGTAATCGCCTACAGTCACCACATCATATCAAGTCAGACCTCAAGTGTAAAGCATGTCTCACTAGTACAGTACAAGACTATCACCATGACCGCACGACTACCAATGACCGGACCTAATTCACTTCTCCTTCTCACTCATGCGTCTTCGCCACTGTTCATTGCATATCAGCCCAACCCCACGAAACCACAATCGAGGAAAGGAAAGGGCAGGACAAACCTTAGGGTTATAGAAGTATACCGGCACGCCGAGCAGCAACACCCCGCCGACGACACCCGCCAGAATCCCCATCGCCGCCGGGTAACTATACTTGGCGACCATGGGATTCAACCCGTAACTGACCCCGAAGCTGATCAGGTTCTTCGTGCCCACGACCGTCACCAGCGCGGGGCCCGGGTTCTTGGGCCACGCCTCCGTGGCGAAGGAGGTCGTGCGGATGAGCACCGAGACAAAGGCGACCTGGTACAGCGTCCAGCCCATGAAGGGTCCGCCCCAGGTGGCGTTGCCATCCGCCGTGAGGCCATACAGAATCAGGGAGGCGACGGCGAGCAGGCCCGGAGCGATCAGCAGGAGCAGATGATGCTCGGGCTGATGCACGCCGCCCGCGCGCTTGGCGGCCCAGACGATGAACCGGTCGCCGAAGATGCCCGCGTACAGCATCCCGCCTAATCCGCCGAACACGCCGCCCAGATTGATCAGCCCGATCGCCGATGCGCTCCAGCCGTAGTTGTACTGGAGCACCGTGTTGTACGTCAGCGACACGCCCACCGACGCGCCCAGCACCACCGAGGCCAGCAGCGTCGCGTACAGCACCCCGGGCGAGCTGAAGCTCTCGAGCATCTGCCACCAGGTCTTGAGGACCGTCCGCACGGGATGCGCGGACACCCCCGGCCACGGGCTGAGCATTTGGCGGTAGGATTTCTTGGCCGGGGGATGCTGCGAGGGAGCCCCCGGGGAGGGTTCAGTCTGCGCGGCGAGCCAGGCGCGGGCTTCCTCCTCGTTCAGCACGCGCGTCACGCCATATTCGTCAGTGATGACGGCCCGGTTCTGCAGGAAGACCGCTCCGCGCTGATACCGGGTCTCGAAGCAGCCGAAGACCACGAGGACCAGGCCGACGCCGACGGTGAGGACGAAGACCCAGTAGAACCAGCGCCAGCCGAGGGCGGCGACTTCGTAGGAGCTTCCCAACGTCAGCAGACTGGTGATGATGTTCTGGGAGGCCCAGTAGATGCCGTAGATGGTGCCGCGTTGGTGGACGAAGGTCAGTTCGGCGAGCATCAGGGGGAGAAGCTGGTTGGGTTAGTGAGGTGGTTGCGATTACTCAGAGAAAGGGCGAACGTACAGACTCCGTGGCGCCTGTGGTAAAGCCCATCAGGATACGGAAGCCCAGATGCTGGCCCCAGTTCTGCGATAGGGCGCATCCGATGAGCGAGCCGAGCAGGACGACGGTGGTGATGAGCATGATCGGTCGTCGGCCGCATACGAGGGCGAGAGGAAGGATAATATAGTTTCCTGGTCCAGTCAGCATACACTTGCGTAAAAAATGGCAAGGAAGATGTCACTGGAAGCTTACCCACGCCCACGAACAAGGAAGGGAAGGTCGACAGCCAGACGACTTGGTTGGTGCTGCGGCCTTCCGCCCCGTACAACTGGAAGAAGACGTCGAGGACCGAGCCCAGTCCTCCCACCACCGACAGTGACATGATGGCTGCGTCAATTAGCAAAGGGCACGGCAAGCTCGACACCATCCCAGTGGCACTTACAGAACCAACAGCAACATACGATGATGGCAGTCTTCTCCCAGACAGCAAAGTTCAAGGGGTCATTAGGGTCATCGCTGGGCACCGGCAGACGCTGAATGCGGCCCGTCTCGTCCACCAGAACCGGGTCTGCGGGCTCTGGTTTCTCGACATTCTCCACGAAGTCAACGTGCACCTTCTCGAGGTCTTTGTCGTGTAAGTCGGTCATGATGGGCGTGGGACATGAAAGGAAAAAACATGACTACAGGGGTGCAATAGTGCCAGGTTTTAACACACCCCCATGCCGGATGCTCCTCCACTCTGCCGACGCGGTCGAGCTAGCCCTACTCCTTTTGGGGGAGGGGGGAGGGGGGGAAAGAAGCTATATTCATATGGAGACGAAGGAGGATGCGCCAGTCAGGGAGTCATGATGGCGCTCGGGGCGCGCAGAGGGGGGCGCCGAGTCGGCAAGCCCCGAGCTGTCTTCGGGGGACTAGTCTACATTCAGCGGAAATGCCATTGCCACCCCCACATTCTGGGGTTAACCGAGTCCACGTGCCATCCCCCCCGAGCTCAACACAACATGCTGCTGTACTGTGGACCAGTGGCTTACATTCAGTTTCCAATCCGTTTAACCTAAAGAGGAATCGCCAGGCCATCGCCCCGAAAATCACTGCCACCGCTGTATACTCGGTAAGAGGCCTCTCTCTGACAGCGAATGACCTGGCCTCTTCCAAACAGTTCTCGTTTCCATCCCGTGACTTTTTCAACGTGATGGCCCTTTTGTTGCAGCTCGTCAATCACCTTTTGCTCAATGCCGTCCTCCACATAGACCATGCTATGGTGCACACCTCCCTCAGCGTCGTCATCCTCCCCCGCGATACAGATGCGCGGTGCATCCAGTGCTTCTTGGGGATTGAGCCCGAACACAAGCATGTTGAGGAGCACCTGCACGTGGCCCTGCGGCTGCATGAAGCCCCCCATGACGCCGAACACAGTGTGGAGGGAGCCATCCGCGGCGTGGGTGGCCATGGCCGGGATGATGGTGTGGTAGGGCCGCTTCAATGGCGCCAGCACATTCGGATGACCGGGGGTTAGGGAGAAGTTGGCCCCGCGGCTCTGCAGCGTAAAGCCGCAGCCAGCGGGCACGATTCCGGTGCCAAACCCGTGGTAGTTGCTGTTGATAAACGAGGCCGCGTTGCCCTCCCGATCCGCGACGGCGAAGTACACCGTGTCGCAGGACCGGAAGGCCGGACTGCCCCGGCAGATCACGTCGGACGCTTTGCTGGGGCTGTAAAGTTTGGCTCGCTCGGCGAGATACGCCTTGGAAATGAGATTCGGAACACGCTCCACATCCGGATCGGCAACCCACCAGGCAGCGTCGGAAAAGGCGATGCGGAGGCACTCGATCAGCGCGTGGAGATATTCCGGGGAATTGTGGGTCAGGCGAGACAGCGGTGGTAGGCGACCTGTACGACTGAGCTCTTCCATGATTCCTAGGGCCATGAGCGCTACCACGCCTTGGCCGTTGGGAGGATGTTCCCAGATATCCAATGCTTGCTGTTGCTGGTCGGCCCAAAGCCGAAGGCAGATCGGATCAACCATCTGGCTGCCAGTCTGCGCGTGATATTCCAGATCTTCATGAGTCAAGAAGCCTCCAAGGTCTTGCACGGCTGTGACGATCGAGTCGGCGACTCTCCCTCGATAAAAGCCATCTTTTCCCTCGATCGCAAGGGCCCGGAATGTTGTCGCAAGGGCGTGGTTGGTCATGACTTCGCCTGGTAGTGGTGATCTGCATCCATCGGGGGCGGCTGCATCGTGTTTGAGCAGTTCGTGAAAATGCGGCGATGCTTTGCGAAGAGTCGGTTCATGTCCATGCCACTGGTATGGGGTAATCAGCAAATGCTCTGCCTACGATCACGACAAGATACTCACCATAGACGACGAAACCTCCGAGACCGGGAAGCCGCGCTCGCAGAGCTCGATCGCGGGCGCAAGGATCTGGTGCAGTCCCAGCTTTCCTGATCCCAACCTCTCAATTGTGTCCACCCACCCTGCCGCGGCGCCTGGAGTGGTGACCGCCAGGACGCTATCCAGAGGGATGGTACCAGACTTTCCCGGCGACAGCTGCAGTCGAGTTCGAACTTGGTCGAGCGTGATTGCTTTGGGGGCACGGCCTGAGCCATTCAACGCACTGATTTTCTTGGTGGGTGCATCGTAGAAGAGACAGAACATGTCGCCTCCGATCCCGGTTGATGCTGGTTCGGTCGCGTTCAGTGCAGCGGCTACATTGACGAAATCAATAACAGCGATGGACTATCATAGTGACTGGGAATGTTCTCACTCACTGCTACAGCAGCATCCTCCAATGAGTTAGTGAAGACCTGATGCGTGGTTGGCGAGATACTTTGATGTACATACTGCAGCATTGCCCCCTTGAGTGAGGATTCTGTGGCCAGCCATCGCCGCCAGGGGCTGCGAGCATGCAACCATGCCATTGAGACCATGTACCACACTCCTGCGGCCGCGAAAAGGGGTAAAGGGTGGTTTGGCCATGGTCTGACGGCATCAGCAAGTGGTGATCAAGGTGGTTGAACTCGGACAAAGAACATTAAGCACTGGTATAGAGTAAAAATCATAGAAGGCAGCCTGGAATAGCCATATCTTCCTCCATACTGTAATGTTATCCGTGAGTTATCGAAATGCGGGGTGCTGCGGGTGAACCCGCCGGAGTTGGAGCAAAGCTCCCCGGTGAATGTATGCTCACCCACACTTGACTCATCAGCTGGTTCACAAGCAAGTGAAGCCCAAAGGATATTCGGTGACAGGATTTCCCAATGGATTTACTTCGCTTATATACATACAGGTATTTACAATTGATGCAATCACAAAGTCCAGGCTGAGAACCAATCCAACGGATCTACTATTGACATTACCCACAAACCTCTAAATCACGCCCCCGGTAATCTCGACCACACTACCCGACATGTACGACGCCCCCGCACTAAACAAGAAGGCCACAACATCGGCCACCTCACGAGGCTCCCCCAGCCGCCCCAACGGCACCTCCTTGACGATGCGCGCATTCGCATCCCCGCCGGCCACATTCCCCACCATCGTCGGGGTATCCGTGTGGCCCGGCGCGACAGCATTCACCCGAATGCCTTTGGGACCCAGCTCCGCGGCCAGCGCCTTCGTGAGCCCGATGATCCCGAACTTGGTCGCGCAGTAGACCGAGTACCCGGGGTACCCCTTGAGACCGCACACGCTGGAGACGTTCACCATGACGGAGCCTTCTTGCATGAGGGGCACGCAGGCGCGACACATGTTGAAGGTGCCGCGCAGGTTGACGTCCACCAGCTTGGTGAAGTAGTCCTCGCTGGTTTCGAGGATGGGGATATTCGTGGGGTTGATCCCCGCGCAGTTGAACAGGAAGTCCAGGTGTTCGAAGGAGGACTTCACCGCCTGGGTGAGTCGGGTGCAGTCGGTGCTGAGGGAGACGTCGCAGGGGCGGTAGATGTGGTACGAGGCGCGGGGGCTGCTGGACAGCTCGGATTGGAGCTGCTGCAGGGCATCTTCGTTGATATCAGATAAGATCAACGTGGCGCCTAGACTGTCCAGTTTGTGGGCGGTGGCTTTGCTGGAGGGGGGTGAAGGGGTGGGAATAAGGTGAGCTGTCACATAGCGGGAGTGGGGGGTGGGGGTTTGGCTTACCCGATTCCGCTGGCGGCGCCGGTGATCAGGGCGGTTTTGCCTTCAAGGGTACCTGACATTATTCCGTATTATTGTGCTGGGGCCTGGGTCAACGGGGATGGTGTGCTTGCAAGGTTGAAAAAGACTGAAGCGAATGCTGCTGGTTGGGCGGATGCTCTTTCCATCCGAGGAATGATCCTATTACAGCATACTGACGTCATCGGTTGATTCTAAGGGAGCCTTCCATGAATTAAAGCCAAACCATACAACAACATGTATACAGTCTCCCTTTTTGCACGGCTGGATACTCAAGAGATCAATGGTCGAAGCATACAAAGCATATGTATATATTCAAATCGAGGAGGGTCCCGCAATCAAATCAAGCTAGGAGTAGTTAATGCAAACCACAAGGGCGGCAAGCTTAATCCTTCTCGGTCTAAGCATTCGTTCGATCCAAAAAGATTACCCACTGGGGCAAGCAGCAGCCTTGGGGATGAAAGCAAGCTTCAGTCTGCCCTTTGGGCGGGCGGAAAAAAAGAACAGTTTCCCCGCCGAGTTTTCGCCGGCTGCTTAACCATTATTCTGCCGTTCTGGGGCGGTCAGAGGGGTACCAGTTTTCCCGCCGACTTTTCGCCGACTGTTTAACCATTATTCTGCTGCTCCGGGGCGGTCACAGAGATACCAGCCTCTACCCACCGAGTTTTGGCCGTGGTTCTCCGGCTTTGTCCGTAGACCGCACGCGCTACAGTCCCGCGAAGTAGTCTGCGTACTCCCTCCACCAGGAGTTCGTCTTCTTCCTATTTAGGACTAGTGACTCCCTAGTTCTGCCGGCAAAAGCCACCACCGCCAGGTCTTTGTACCAACCATCTGCCTCAATAAGCAATTAGGAAGGCGGTGCTGCAGAAAGTGGCGCCCGGAACCAAACAACTTGGTGGGGGGAGTACGCAGACTACTTTCCTCCCACTGTACGATCCAATCCATGCCTGATAAGATCAAGCCCGGCACGTCTACAGGCCTCCCTGCTATATAGTGAACTGTAAATGAGTAATCCAGCACGGAACATATCTGTCTTGCAATGATGCGGTCTTACATAGCCTATGTCATATTGAAGTTGTTTCTGATCGCCAATGCCCTCTTCGAGTGCTCACCTCGATCGAGCAGCAGTGACCTAGATGAGACGATGACGGAGTTTCTCGAGGGGTGCTTTGGGACCCTACGAAAATATCATAATCGAAAATACGCCGTAAGTCAGTAATCACCTCTTGGTTGAATAGAATCCCGTGGAATTATTATTTGAAATTATATTGTGTTCGCGCAGTGATTTGGAAATGATGCATCTACGCGTCTGTCTGTACGTACTTGACGAGTATGTTGCATCTATACCGCAGCGATCAGACTGTGAATCCCGTCCCGATTGCCGACGGTAAGTTCAAATCCCTTGAACCCTGGAGGGTTTGAAATCTCCTGGTAGGGTGCAGCACTGCCAAGACCCCGTCGGGAAGATCAACACACAGCCTGGAGATTAGAAATAAACATCACCACCAACCACTTCTCATGACACTACCATCCCAAATAGCGTGAACAGCATCCTCTGCCCTGAGGATGCTGACAAAAGACAGAATTTGCAAGAATGAATATGCTTGGCGTCATGGGGGCTCATACCCAACGAGAAGGTATATGAAGACCTAACAGGTCAAGATGCCTTCCATTGAGCACCAGCACCGAGTAGAGCACCTTCACCACAAACAAACTCATAACATCTAACAACACCATCAAAGCTTGTCCAATATGTCATCCACCAACGACTACCCCAAGCCCATCTCCTTCACCAAGGAGTGGCACACCAAGCCCTACGCCTTCATCTCGCCCTCGCGCCCCGAGCTCTCGGCGGCAGGCAAGAACGTGGTGATCACGGGCGGAGGCAGCGGCATCGGCAACGCCATCGCCGTGGCCTTTGCCCAGGCCAGTGCCAAGTCCGTCTCCATCCTCGGCCGTCGTCTGGAGACCCTGAAATTGGGGGCGGAGAAAATCACCACCGCGGCCACTGAAGCGCACACCTCGACTCAGGTCTTTTATGAAACAGCCGATCTCCGTCAGCGCAGTGCCGTCGACGAGGCCCTTGCTTCCATTGTTTCTCGGGTCGGGAAGATCGACATCTTCGTCTCCAACGCGGGAACCCTACCTACGCCAGGGTTAATCCGGGAGTACGACGTGGAGGATTATCTGGGAGGTGTGGTGGAGAATATTCGGAGCGCGCTGAATGCTGTGCAGGGGTTTTTGGCCGTCGCGGGACCTGACCCCGTGCTGTTGAATACTTCCTCATGTCTAGCGAATATTGCCCCGATGCCTGGTGTGAGCGGCTACGCGGTGTCGAAGGCCGCGGTGCTGAAGATGATCGAGTACGTCGCCGCAGAGAATCCTTATGTGCGCGTGGTGAGTGCCCAGCCCGGCTGGGTAGCGACGGAAGTCAATGGCTATCAGGCCGAAGCGCCGGATCAAGGTATGTTCGGACGTTGTCTCATATCCGTAAACGAGCGCATGCTAACGGGGGTCTCAATAGCTGAATTGCCGGGCCAGTTCTATGTCTGGTTGGCTTCTGCAGAGGCGGAGTTCCTCAAGGGGAAGTTCGTGTGGGTGAATTGGGATGCGGAGGAGCTGGTGAAACGAGCCGAGGAGATTCGGGGATCCAAGCTCCTGAATTGGATTGTCGAGGGTGTGCCTATGTAGAAGGGATAGAATTGGATCAGTTCATCTTGTCGGTGTTTGATACCGGGGAGTATTAACTCTCCTGCCCATAATCAATCCGTCATTCGACCTGCTCTGGTTCTCGAATGGCCTGTTCGTCAATTTATTGCAATGTTGTCCTGTTTTTCTTTGAGCATTGTCGATTTCTGCGACCCGTAATCTTGAAAATGACATAGATATCGCCTACCATGAATTGACCGCCGTGGTGAGCGAGTGGGTGCATAGCAAACAGACGACTCTCTGTGAGAAATTCGGGAATTAGTTTCTAATCAGCGGTCATCAGTAAAGCTTCATCTGGCAGCCTCAGCCAGCCTCGTCGACGTCATGTAGGAGAATCTCTCAACCCACACCTGCTGCCCAGTGGCGGGGAAAAGTACCCGAACCGGAGGTGAGACCCTCTGCCGGTGGTACAGCAGCTGGAAGCGGCAAAGATGCCCGCTCTCGAGGTGGAAAATAGCATTGTCTCCCGAGAGGCAAAATCCTGCCCCGCCAATCACAAGAATCCCGATCGCATTCCTCAGACGCAAATGCGGGGAAAGAGTCTCGATTGTGGGAAGGATTCGGCAGAAATCTGGGGTACAGTCCGGGGTAGTGAATGATATTCAGTGTTTGATTCAATTGCCGACTCACTGGGGATCTACACGGTATAAATATGCGCATGCGAAGCTGACAGTGACTCACTCATTCTCCACCCTGCATTGTTTATACTGTGTCTCTGGGACACACGAAGTACGAAAGAAAAAGAAAGGGAAACAAAAAGCGAAAAACCAAAAAGAAACCAACAAACACACAAACAAACAACGATAAACATCACCCCCTCTTCCTCCCGTGTCCCAAATTAACACCGCCTCACCCTGAGCTCAGTCGACCTCTGCTGGGCCGGAGAATTCCCCCATTTAGGGACGACTTTGCTCAAGACCCCACCCAGGAAGCCTTGAGCCCTTTGCGGGGGCTTGGATGGCTGCTGCGGGGGCTGCTGCTGGCATATTGCTGCAGCTCTAGTCGCTGGTCCTGAGTGACCAGTGGAGGGAGAGGAGGAAGCGGAGCAACCGGAGCTGGTGGAGGAGGGGGAGCAGCGGGAGCAGCAAGAGGAGCAAGATGAGGAAGAGAAGGAGGTTGACGGAAAAGAGTCAAAGTAGGAGCAAACACATGACACACCACCGACAAACAACATGCGTACCCAGATACAGGCACCCAAGACATCATCCTGCCGCATTAGCGGCGTAGAGCCTGAAGCTCCCAGGATTCGGGCAGAACTGGTGGCTTTTGGCGGCCCAGAATCCGCTCTCCGAGATCCATAAAGAGCCGCCTTAGGCGGCCACAAGCTTGGGCCCCTTTGGCATTTGCTACCATGAAAGCCCGACCCCCGCCAAGTAGGATGGGGCGATATCCCCGTATGGTTTGCGCCGGTGAGCCCCTGGCCGCCACGGCGCCCACGTTGCTCACTGCAGAAAAAAAGGTCCTCGCAGCAGAGCTGCCTTCGCTGGGCGAGTCGGTGTGCCTCCTCCCCCCGCTGTAGCACCAATCATATTAGCATCACTCCAATCATCAGACGTGCAGCATGGACAAGGAATCTTACCGCGGTGAAGAACAGCAAGGTAGGCCGCGTTGGCCTCCGTGAACGTTTTGGGCTTGTAGCCCTGCAAAAAGAAGCGATATCTACATGCACAAACGTACAAGTCAGTCTCCCTTCAGCCGTCCATGGAGGCGGGCTCGTACTTGAGGTTCGTCTTCCGGACACAATAATATAGCCCCGCAAAGCACAGAGCTATTGTGATGGTAAAGTCTCCCGGACAATCACTATATCATTGCTGGTCGAACCAGAGTTTTCGGCGGCCACGGTGACACTGTCCTCGAGGGACATGAAGGTGTTTTCTTTTGGAAGAAAACTTAAATAGAGATGAAAAGATCGATGCGTTTGAGACGAGGAAGAGGTGACTTGTTGGCCTTTGCAAATCTCAAGGGCATGGGAAATGCTTGGTAAATGAACGAGAATAAAATAGAGTACAGAGAAGACAAAGACAAAGAGGCAGGTCGAGACCAGAGCCTGCCTATTCCATGGAAAGAATCTGCAAAAAAAAAAGAGGGCAGGCGCAGTCCTCTTTGCGCTTGCACAAGTTCAACGCAAGATGTTCTCATGGAACAGCACCTTCCGAAACCCTTTCTCGGCTTCTATTCTGTGGATTTATGTAGTCCAGACAGGTGACCAACAGAGCCTGCTGGCAGACATGTCGAACAATAAGTCTGCTTGGCTGGATCTGAGTGGTAGGAAAATGGACCGATCCGATGAGAAAAGAAGATGGCGAGATTAGAGTCGAGGCGACGGAGGAAGACGAACAGGACATGTCAGCCCAGAAGTCAAGCCTCGTGATACTACTGTCTCCCATTCAATATCAAGGCAAGGAAGGCAGTGAATCCCAATTGGTATAGATTCTACGCTAGGGCAAAACCTACAATTCCGAGGTCGCTGCAGGTGGAGCTGCGTGACAGCTTCCACATTGACCTGAAGACGCCCATTCATTTCCGTAGCTTATTTCGATGCCGTGGTGAATTGGCAATGCGAAAAGCACCCGTTCACGATATCAGAATTTCAAACCTGTGAATGACTCGAAGACCGTATAGAGTCTTTCTCCAGGTACCCAATGGCTCATGCATAGTAATCAGCATAACATTCTCGTGTGGGTATAATGAATTACCTATTATACAGGGTATATGTGTATATCTAATATCTTAACCAAGCACTCGTGCGCCAATTCTCTCTTCCCGATTTCTCCATTATGTTGGCGGCACCGATGACGCCGCCATTCCTTCCCTTTGCATGGTAGTTTCCTTCCTCATCAACATCATCCAGAAGTCAAGCTGTCATCCCAAGAGGCCTCTTCGCGCAACCTGAGTATCACCAGGCTATCACCGATCCAACGCGTTTTCCTGACACTATCACACAGTTAGCATTTCCCATCCCACACATCCAGAGATAAAGAGAGCTTACCATTTGGTAGTAGACCCCCCGCCTCCCCACCAACTCCGCATGCGTCCCCTGCTCCACCACCCTCGACCCACCAAGCCCTCCCTCCCCAAACACAAAGATGACATCCGCCTTCTGGATCGTCGCCAATCGATGCGCCACCGCGACGATGGTCAGACACCTCTTCGCCGCCAACCGTTCCAGCGCAGCCTGCACCACCTTCTCAGACTGCGAATCCAGACTCGACGTCGCCTCGTCCAGAAGCAGTAGCTTCGGCTTCCGCAACAACGCTCTTGCAATGCACAGCCGCTGGCGCTGGCCGCCGCTCAAAGCAGCCTGAGCTTTGATACCTAGCTCGGTGGCGTACCCCTGCGGGAGGGAGGTGATGAAGTCGTGGATTTCAGCATCGCGGCACGCTTGTTCGATTTCCGCATCCGAAACCTCAGATGGATTGGGCAAGCCCAGGGTGATGTTTTCGCGGATGGTACCTTCGAATAATCGGGGTTCTTGGGCCACCAGCGAGATGGTCTTGCGGTAGGTGGCCGGGTCGATGTTGGTGATATCCTGGTCGTTGAGGAGGACTGTGCCTTTGGCGGGGCTGTAGAATCGTTCGAGCAGGGAGATGACGGTGGTTTTGCCGCAGCCGGAGGGTCCGACGAAGGCAACAAATTGGCCTGGGCTGATGTCCAGGTTCAGGCCCGTGAAGAGGGGGCGGTCGTGCGAAGCATAGCGGAAAGTGACGTCGCGGAAGCTGATGCTTGCTGCTGTTGCAGACTGTCTTGCACTGTTGGTGGTGGTGGTCATCTGCTGTGGGTTCTCGTGGCGGTTCGGCCGGAAGTCCAGCATGCGGTTCGCGGAGGCAATGGCCTGGGCGATGTTCGACCCGAAACTAAAGAACTGGCCGGCTTGCTGTCCTCCCTGAATGATGGCCATGTAGATCACAAAGAAGGAGGTGGGCTCGTATTCTCGTGAGGCGAGGAGCTGCCCCCCGTACCAGAAGGTGAGCGCCATAGCGCACAGCTCGACACTATCGGAGAAGGCGAAGACTAAGGTTGCATACCATGCCTTGTGGAAGGCCTTCTTTTGCTGCGCAAGTAGCATGGTTGAGTAGCGGTTTAGAATGGCGTCTTCCATTGTAAGTGCTGAAACCGTCCGGAAGGCGTCGATGGCTTCTGCTGCGAACTGTGAGCTGCCTGAATACACGGCTGCGTTCATCGCGTCGAATTGCACCTCGTAGCGAATGCGCATGAAGGCCGCCAGGAAGGTGCAAGGCAGCGCTGCTAACACAGCCACCAGACTGAGTTTCCAGCCGAAAGTGAAGGCGATGATGATACATCCGATCATACCAAAGATCGACATGCAGGGAAGCGCTCCGTTGATGCCAAGGAGTTCCTGCACTTGCTTGGGGTCGGTAGCCAGACGAGAGACCAGCGAGCCTGAGGCATTGTCGGTGCGATCGTGAAAGGGGATGGGCTTCTCGATGATGTTCTGGAAGTATTCAGTTCGGCAGTACGAGGAGATTTCCTTTCCATGTTAGCTTCGTTCGTCTGTTCAGGGTGAAGTGGCAACATACCACTGAGAACCGGTTGGCGGAATATCCGATCAGAGCATAACAGACCCCATTCCCCAGAGCGAGAACCAAGAACATCAGAGCCCAGAAATTGGCAGCGTGCACCAGCTTGTCCCCTGAGTACTGGAAGACCTGGATAATTCGCGCAAACAGCCAACTCTGAATGGGATAGGCAGCTAGTTCACGTCAGTAGCTGCCACACAATCACACTCCTCGCAATGCTTACCTCCAGCACCAGCGGCGCCGATCAAGGCCGGAAGATAGAAGCGCCATTGCCCTCTGTTCTCGTATAGAAACACTCCAATACTGCCAAAAAAGCCTCTGTTCTTCGACTTCTCCAGCTCTTCTTCTTTTCCAAACTTTTTCAAGCTCATCTTGGCTGACTTGGCGTCGTCGTCGGTGTCGTCCATCTCATCCTGGATGTCACTCCCTTCTGCGTCTAACAGCTCGAGAGTCTGGGCATTCACCAACCCACTGTACACCCCATCCTCGATGGCCAGAAGCTCCTCGTGCGTTCCCTGCTCGACATCAACCCCACCCTTCATCACGATGATGTGGTCTGCTTTGCGGATTGTCGTCAACCGATGGGCGATCACGATGGTTGTACGGTTCTCCGCGAGGCGATCCAGCGCCGCCTGCACGATCTTCTCGCCTCTTACATCGATGGCACTGGTCGCTTCGTCCAGAATGAGGATGGTTGGTTGCTTGACAATGCTTCGCGCGATGGCCAGTCGTTGCCGCTGTCCGCCACTCAGTTTCGTCCCGTTCTCGCCGACCATAGTCGCGAAGCCCTATCCCCGTCAGATAACATTCGACTCCGATATTGAAGACACATACCTCCGGCAACCGATCGATAAACTCATCCGCAAACGCCTCCCTGCAAGCCTGCTGTACGAGCCCCTTCTTGACCTCGTCCGACTCATGCTCCCACTGTGTGCCGATCAGCCCGTACGCGATGTTGTTGAAGATGGTATCGTTGAACAAGATCGGCTCCTGCTGCACCAGCCCGATCTGCGTGCGCCACCACTTCAGATCCAGATCCTGGACATTGTGCTCCCCGACCAGGATAGCCCCTTGGTCGGGATGCTCCGCATTGGCATTCAGCTCATACCAGCGCTCCAGCAGACCCACAATCGTGCTCTTACCGGAGCCCGACGGACCAACCAAGGCCGTCGTCTTGTGTTTCTGGAACCGGGCGTTCAAGCCCTTGAGCACCTTCGAGTCGGGTCGCGACGGGTAGGTGAAATGCACATTCTGGAACACAAGGTCGACCTCCGCGGAGACCTCCGGGCCACGGAGCCCGCTCGCATTCGGCTTGTCGCTGTCGATCATCTCGAAGAAGGCGCCCGCAGCGCTGGCGGCCTTGGCGATGGTCACGAGCGGGGAGGCGATGCGGCCCAGCACGCTGACGGCCACCATCACCGAGAAGAACACCCTGTCGAGCGTTAGTCTAGCCCCTACGCCAGAAAGATGTGAGCCTCACGTGATAACCGTGTTGATATTCTGGATATGCCCCTCCCGGTATAGTTTGAGCCCGAACCAAAACGCCAACGAGTAGCTCGCGTACATGGCGAAGAAGACCAGCCCCAGCTGCACCGCCATCACCACGGACAGCTTGCGGCCGCGCAACCGGGCGATCTCGATCCAGTCGGCGTACCGCTGCGCCAACGTCCCCTCGGCGCCCAGGGACACGACCGTCCGGATGGAGCCGATGACCTCGGCGGCGATGGAGGAGTGCTTCTCGTCGGCCTTGTCGACCTGGCGCTGGATCTTGGTCATCATCGGCACGGCGACGAAGCAGACGGCGAAGATGAAGACCAGGGCGGCGCTGGTGACGAGCGTCAGGGCCCACGAGTAGCGGAAGGCGATGACGTAGGCGGCGACGAGCAGGGCCAGCGACTGGAACAGGATGGCCAGCTTGTCGGAGATGCTCTGCTGGATCGAGTTGGAGAGCGTGGTGATCGTGTTGGTGACGGTGCCGACGGAGACCAGGTCCAGCTTGCTGATCGGCTGCGCGAAGAGCGCGTGCATGTACCGCAGGCGGAGGGTGCCGGAGACGCGGAGGCCGATCACGCGGAAGCAGTACTAGACGAGAATTATTATTGTGCTGCGCAGAATTGGGGTGGAGTTGGGCACGGTGGACGCACCATCGAGAAGTATGTGAGGGCGAATTTGGCGATGAAGAGGTAGACGATGTACAGGCTGGGTCGCGGGTTAGGGTTTGGCTCGGTCGGGGGGTCTCTTCGGTGGCTAGGCTCGCATCGCACTCACCTCAGTTTGCTGATGGCGGACTTGAACTCGGCTTCGGTGGTGGAGGAGTCGTCGGTGAAGTATCCGTTGAATTCGCCGACCATATTCCCAAACACGATGTTCATGAGCGGTAGGGGCTGCGGACGAGGAGAGATTAGCCGTGTACTCTGTGTGTGTATTGGGGTGACTGCGGACACATACAACACCCGACCCGATGGAGGAGAGGAGGGCAACGGCGAGGATGGCACGATCCGATGCACTTGCATGGGACAGTAACCTCTGCGGGGGGTTAGCGAAGTCTGCATCAAGTTCTGCCGGGTACGCAGAATGATCTCCGTACAAAATAACTGCCTAAAGAGGCCGTCTGCTCTGATGTGGCATCCTTGGCGTCGGTGTCGGACTTGGACTTCTTGCTGGTGGTGGTGGATGATGCAGTCGAGGTGTCGGTCACAGAGACGATCTTCTCCGCAGGGAGTGTATTCTCATGCTCGCCCTGGTGTGGAGGAGATTCAGTCGCTGAACCCATGGCGGTTGACCTCGCAGGAGATCATGAAGGTGAGTGAGATGGGAGAGGGGGGGATACGCAGGTGCAAGGCTGCGGGCGGGAACAGGGCATCACTTATATGGCCATAAATATTCTGTAGGTACTGTACAGTAGGTACGTACGCATTGGACTACCGAGTACGGAGTACGGGACTACCGAATACGAGTGTTTACCCAGTATGTTCTAGCCAGGGAAGGGGACCCAGCCAGGCTAATCAGAGTCTGGGCCAAGGGGGGTGGAGTCATCAACTTATCCGTGCATGCAAAAGGCCCAATAGTCTAACCATGGATGCATGGATGTAGGGCAGGGATGGAATGGGGACAAACCGACAAACCTGCCAGGTGTCGATCTGCATTTGGTGCTACTACGGACTTTCGGACTTTCGCACTCCCCGGAAGGCGGTCAGCTCCGGTTTTTGATCCTCAATTCTTTCAGTCTTCGGGGATTTCGGACTCTTGCAACTTCCCGGATTATTGCTTGCTGCCTTCAGCTCCTTTCTTTCTCTTCTTCCCCACTAAACAAACCCACCACTGGGCACATCATGACACAACCCCTATCGGTAAGTTCCATCAGGCGTCCTGCGGATCTATCCATCCGAAAGAATGTGATTTGCCTAATTTAACCATGGTGTAGTGTACTCGTTGCCAGTCCAAAAAGGTTTCGCTGCCTGCCCCCTCTTCATTCCCAGATGACGACATGCAAACATGCTAACTAGATTCGCTGCAACCGCGCCGACCCGCGATGTGACAAATGCGCCGCTGCAGGAGCTCAATGCGCCTATCTGCCTAGAAAACAACGCACCATCAAGCGAAGGTGGTCCATCCTTACTTGAAAATGATGAAAGAATGCAGAAAAAAAAAAGGCTAATGCGACCGTAAATTTCCAGAGCACTCCACGACAGAGACATCCTGCAGGAAATCCTCCGAAGATTAGATCGCCTCGAAGACCACTGTCGACTGAGCCAGAATGTCACTGATGAGGCCGAGAGTCACCGTTCGATGTCCGTGGAATCTGAGACGATTTCATCCTCCGAGTCCTCAGCGACCGACTCGCCTGCCAGTGCTCAGTCGCCCACTGGGCAAGCCATAGTGCAGGGCCTGCTGGCTCGCGTCAAGGACGATCACATCCGGTCTCGTCTTCGGTCCCACGTCTTCTGCGCTATCGACAAGATCGGGTCGCGCTTCTTCGAAAACCCCCGCTGCATGAGGGCGATGGATGCTGCCATCGCGGGAATCGAGCAGCTCGAGCCAACTCCGCTGGATGCCAGTCCACCCGTGATCCCCAAGGAGACCGTGAAGAAATGGATCAATCGTGTGTATACCCCCCCATGCACGAGACTCGATTGATGAAGATGCTAGCTAACTGCAGGCAGAATACTTCAACAACTACCAGTTCGAAGGCTTTCGGATCCCCCTAGAGAAAGATTTCGTGCTCGCCATGCCCGATCTGATCGACAGTCCCCACGTCCAGCTCGACGCGACCTCCCAGATCATCTACTACAATGTGCTCTTCCAGTCGTTCATGCTGGATAGCGAAGAAGTAGAAGGGAGGGGTCGGACGGTCCAGGCGCTGTGTAGCACATGTCTGAAGCTAGCGGAGGACTGGCTCGGCCGGATGCAGAATACAACTGCCGATCTATTTGCGGCGTTCATGATGGTGTGCATACTTTCCTCCCATTATAATACACACGACTGACCAGAGCAGATGTCCATGACGCTGGAGAGCTGCGAGAGCGATCTCTCGTGGAAGATCTTCAAGGCAGCCTGTCCTGTTGCGCGCGCTCTTGGCTACTTCTCCGTGGACGAGGATCGCCATCATCCCGACCGAAGACCTTCACTGGCAGGAGACTCGCAACATGAGGAGATCGAGCGCAATCGCATGCGATTCGAGTTCTGGCACATCCTCCGCACCGAAAGCCACTTCCGACTCTCCTTTGGCAAGCCCCCGATCATCTCGGGGGGATCCTGGGCCGTCAACTTCCCCGATCCCACCATCACCGGCGTGGATCATGAATCGACTCGTTTCATACAGATTCACTTCCTAGCATCCATGCGGCTGACCATCGTGACGATGCGATACTTGGATATAATGGCAACCAACCCCGACCCCCACACGGCCGAGTACAACGACACCATGGATGGGCTGATCGCCGAAGTGCAGAAGATCATGTCCGATTGGAATCCGGTAAGTGCTTTGGAAGGGGATAGTTACACGTGTCTGACTTGAATCAGGAGGAGCTACTGAGCTCGACCACCAACCGCATTGACACGTGGTTCTGCGTGGATATCCTCTTCAGCAGCTACAAGATGCTTATCGTGTTTTACCAATCCAAGCCGTCTCATCGAGATAGTCATCGGCTGCCATATCACACGGTGGATATCGCCCGGAAGAGTTTACTGATGTCGCGGTCGCTCATGGAGGCGACGCCGCGCCCGTACTGGGGCATCAGGTAGGTTGCTTCTATTCTTGGGATTGACAAGATTGGCCACTAACCATCACAGTCTCATCCTGCTTCACCAGTCCATTCCGCTCTTCGTTCTTTGCTACGACATTCTCGGATGCTACGAGCGCGATGACATCGCAGCAGATGTCGACTTAATAACGTGGTTCGACGACTACGTCGAAGTCGCGTCCAAGGACCGCGCGGAGCTCAAAGCCATAAGCTTAGTGGTGAGAGAGATGACACGAGCCTGCGAGGAGATCGTGGGGCATTAGCATTGCTACCGATTGATACCAACTTACGACCATACTACTGATCCAGAATCACCCCCAACACATCCTTCAGATCCCCATCTACGCAAGTCGCCAGTCCCATCGCCTCCAGCTCCGCCGGTACGGCCGCCGTATCGCCCAATCCTATTCTGACCAAATTAACCCTTCCTTCGCCACTTTCCACCAACTCCTCATTCTCCCACCTCAGCACGCCGGGGGTTGACATCCCGACCCCTAATTCCAGAATCACTACCTTCCTGTCCGAGTCCCGCAGGAAATCCTCCTTGAAATCCTGCCATCGCTTCTCCCCCTCTTCAAAAGGCGCCTCATTGAACCACTTTCCGGCCCTTACACAAATTCCCATCTTCCCGCCGCAAAACCGACACACCGGGATGAACCTTTCATCTGTGACCCTTTGCGTTAACGCATCCAGCCCTCCATGCGCGACCACCTTCTCCACCAACGGCGCCGACTCCACCACCGCGTCCTCGCGACAATTGCTCAAACATTGCAAATAGCGATAAGCGCCTTGCGGCGTCGACAAGACATTCTCATTCAGCCCATGCGCGAGGAACAGGCCATCTGCATTCGACGTCCGAGCATGCACTCTCCTCGCATCCATCCCAAATTTCCGCCCCATCCACTCCAACAAAGCAGTATACATCGCCGACCGCGGCCACGTGCGCACCGTCTGCAGATGCGTGTAATAGAACCCCCACCGCACCTCCTCAGACCCCCAATCCTCCGTCTTCATCCCAAATGTATCGTACAACTTGGCCAACCCCAACGCCTGGAAAGCTGGGAAACGCTTGGCGAAGAGAGTGGTGGAGGTATAATCCAGCCCCGTGGCGGCCGACAGTCCCGCGCCACAGCTGAGGAGGATCGTGTCTGCTTCTTGGAGCCACACGCGGGCTTGCTGCATCGATGAACCTATTAGCTGCGGGGGTTTTAGTAGTGCACCACTGGGCGAAAGCGAGAGAACTCGCTCGTAAGCGACCGTCTCCTTCTCCGTGAAGGTATTGAAAATCACCCCCGTGATGCTCGTCTCGGGGTGCTCGCGCAGCCAAGTAACCACAGTGTCCACGGCCAACGGCGCCGCCTCGGCAATAGGGTACCCGAACAAGCCCGTCGAGATTCCGCAGAGAGCAATGATCTTTTCGTGTTCGGGTGAAGGCAGGGTATCTGCTTGCTCAAGCACGGCACGATAGCATCGCGCGAGCTGCGCCTTCTGGATCTTCGAAGGGCAGGCCTGGTGGGGATCCAGCTGCGGCCCGACGGTGTGGATGATCCACGGCGCAGGCAGACAGTAGCCGGCTGTGACGACTGCGTCGCCGACGGGGAGCGTGCGGTGGCCTTCGTCCATGAGGCGGAAGCACTGCTCCCGGAGGCCTGGGCCGGCACGCGCGTGGATCACGTTGTCGATGCAGCGGTGCGCGGGCTGGAAGCAGCCCAGCAGGGCGGTGTTGGCGGCGTTGGTGATGGCGGTGAGGTTGGTGAGGGTGGTGATGTCGCCTTGCCAGAGGTAGAGTTTTGTGGTTGGTAGAAGAGATCTTGCATCTGTGCCTATAATTGATCGTGTAGTCGTGGCTGGATGAGGTGTAGATACAGTGACTTGGGGTAAGGTGCAAGCATCAACAAGAGCCCTATGCTGCCGCTCCCACACCAGAATCCCCTCGATCTCATGCAGGAGCTCGGGATCCAGAGCCTGTCGCGGATGTCGCACACAGAGGAGCTGCTTCATCAACCGGATCTGCGCCCAGGTCTCCATCGTATGAATATGGTCTTCCATTGCAGCATGGCTGTGGTTGTGGCCGTGGGTACAAGTGTGCGACGGACCCTGGAAATACCGCGACTCGCGGAGAAGGGCGCGGAGCACTCGGGGAAGGAAGTCGGCCATCCTTATCAATAACAGATACACACAAAATACAAATATATCGTACAAATCAAAGACCAAGTAGGAGAGCAAGAGAGACTATATAAATCCCCAGCCTTTAGATACCCCCATCCGACCCGAGATACAGTCCGCTAATTCCCCCAATTAGAAGCCAGGATGTGAGTTTACACTGTTTACACAGTTTGCATTCCTCCCACGGAGGCCAATCACGACTCCAGAATCTGTGTCAAATCCGAACGCCAAAATGGTGCGATTTGCACCGGTTGCACGCGGCCCAATTCCGCGGTTGCTGCATCGGCATAAGCACTTCGTGTATCCGCTTTAATTTCTGTCATACTGTCAAGAATCTACCCATTTAATATCAATTCCTCGATGGTCTAACGGTCATGATTTCCGCTTGTCAATCCTCACCAGGAACAAGCGCGGGAGACCTGGGTTCGACTCCCAGTCGGGGAGATTTATTTTTGTCGGTCTTCTTCCCGCTTCAGGGCAGGAGGTTGATGTACGTACTCCGTACCTCGCCCGTCTTTTTTTTTTTTTTTCGGCTTTTTTTGCATCACATTCCTAGACAGTCATCTCAATGAACCAGCTTATAAGCAAAATGTCATGGATTTCAACCTAGTTCAGCTCACTGTGGTGCTAACTTACATAAACTGTGCTGTGCTGTCAAGCTCTTCAGAGACACGACAAATCTATATTTCTTGCGGCTTCTGAACGTCACATTTACCACGTCGACAAATCCAGCATTTTGCATTGAATGGAGATAACCAGTGATGAGATTAGCTTGGGAACATCGATCTTGTTACGATGCTTTTATCTGCTCTATGTTCTTATTTACTCTTTTCCCCTGCCTGACTTGCATTGCTACTACCATGAATCGAATCCGGAGGTGTAGATACTCTGCACCGCATATCCTGCCCTACTTTCTCTTCCCCGCCTTTACCCGAAGGGTGTTTGATCACAATGGATACCTAGTCGTCTTCTCTGTGTTCCGACTTAGAGGTAGCCCCCTCGCTGCAGAGCCAGGTTGATTATGCTGCTGGCCGAGAATGTCCGACACCCGAGATGGGTCGGAGAAGTGCTTGCTGTAATTTATCTCAACGACAAGTGTAGTTCATGCTGCATCTCTCATGTGAGATCGGCGCGAGGGCAAACAGAATGGCAGCTGCCGTTGCCGGTACAATGATTCTCATAGCTGCACCACCGCTTGACAAAGAACTGATGCAGTCTCCAGTAGCGCGAGTATACTACATCAATCCACCATACGAACGAACCTCCACCACTACGAGCTCAACCTCGAACCAGACGTATTCAGAAAAACCAAGTTTTGAGGTATATACATTGCCACAATCACAATCATCACTCGTATCGCATTCTATAATACAACCAAACAAACATCATAAGTCATAGGTCATGTCTGTGTCAAGAGCGAGTCGAACAAAGGAAATTGGTCACAAAAAAAGCCAGCAATCATTAAGGCATCATAAAGTCATTGGGTATCAGTTCCAGGTTTCTTTTCCGGTCCGATTCTCACAAAGAAGTCGGAATGGGCAGCTCGCTCAGAGACTTGACCAGGCCCCGGAGGGCGGGGTTGAGCTCGTCCGCGGCGGCCTCGAGCTCGGTCACGGTCTTGTTCACCTCGCGGCCGAGCTGGCGGATCAAGTCATAAGTAGCCTGCAGGGCGCCGGTGCGGTGCAGCAGGTCCAGGATCTGCGCCTTGCTCTCGGGCGACAGCGGGGCCTCGGCGGCCTTCTGGCGGTAGATGCCCAGGATGACCGTCCGGGCGGCCGGGTCCATGTTGCAGCAGCGCACGATCGGGTAGACGATCTTGCCGTGGTCCAGGTCCTCGGCGCGGCCGAGCAGCCCCAGGTACTCGTGGCGGATCTGGTACCAGCGGCCCAGCAGCTTGGCCAGGGGCTCGAAGTCCAGGGACGAGCCCTCCATGCTGGCGGCCTGCATGAGGCGCACGAGCAGGCGGAAGGTGGAGCCGGACCGCTGGTCCACCATGGTCAGGTACTCCTGCTCGGAGGGGGCCTGGTAGGTGGTGCGCCAGTCCAGCTCCCACGACTGGCCGATGAAGCGGGCCTCGAGCTCCTCCAGCAGCCCGTCCAGCATGCCGGGGCACTTGAGGCTGTTGACGATCTTGGCCACCCGCACGAAGGTGTAGGCGGCGCTGTTCATGCACTGCGCCCGCCCGAACACCTGGTGGGCCGGGGTGCGCTGGCTGCGGTGGGTCGCGTGGTCCTGGATGTCGGCCAGCATGTGGGTCGAGTCCTGCAGCTCGTTGATGATCTGCTTGATGTAGGTCAGCGGGCGGTTGGGGACCTGCAGCCAGACGTTGAGCGCGCCCAGCAGCTCGCTCTGCAGGTCGGTGATGGCGATCGATCGCATGTAGCCGGCCGGAGCCAGGAGGGGCAGCGTGTTGAGCTGCACGACCGGCGCAGCCGGCTCTTCCACCAGAGGAGTCCAGACCGCCACGTCCTGGGGTTCCTCCTCCTCTTCGGGCTGAGCCGCCTCCTCCACATGCTCTGCCTCCTGCTCCCGCTCTTCGGCCTCGGCCTCCTCTTCCTCCTCCTCTTCGTCATCTTCATCCTCCTCGTCCTCATCGTCTTCAGCAGTGGCGTCTCCCTCAGAGGAGTCCTCCTCGGCGACGGAAGCGTGCTCACTCTCCTCCTCTTCGCTCTCCTCGATCGTGTCAGGAACAGCGTAGCGAGGGGTGTTCTTGGACCAGTAGTGGATGCCGGCCAGGGACGAGCCCAGGACCTCCATCCACTTGCGGAGCTTGGGGGCGAGATCCGGGTTGGCCTGGTAAAGCGCCTCGCGACGCTTGACGAACTCCTGCTCGTTCTGGATGATGAGCTCCTTGGTCTTGGCGACCGCATCCTCCTCCGACATGTTCTGGTGTTGCATGAGGAACAGGATGACGTTGGCCACGGGACGCCTCTTGGTCTCGCGCTTCTCCTTGGGCCAGCTGTAGTAGTCGTTGGTGAAGAACATGGTGCGCTCGGCGGCGTCGAGCGCATCTCTTACGATGGCCTGGTCTTCCTTGCCCAGGCGGGTGCCATGGGCGAAGCCCATCAGGGTCCAGTACACACTATCACACTGATTA